AGGTAAAATTCATGTTGATAGTAGGAAGACAGGTGTACTGATAGTAGTAAGAATAATAAAATACGATAACAAAAGTCTTATCAATAGTTAAACGTTGGAAATAGAAGGTCAAACGTGGGTAAATAGACTTGGAATAGTCATCACATTGATAGATTTGTACTCAGTCACTGGTGGAAGACTAATTACACAATTTTAAGAAGTTCAGTCGGAAATATTTAAGATAAAAAGATATGACAATTGAACATGTTGTGATAAGAAAGCATAAATGCGTAACAGATCTACTACCACTTGCTTTTCTTGATGGAATTTGAACCCAGAACCTTCAGTCTGGGTTATGGTTCCACCTGCGAAATTGCGGATGCGCATTGCCAAGTCCCATACTAGGACGAAATGACCATCTAGTGCTTCCGGGTTTTCAATGCTGGTTTAGCTTTGATCGATTAGCGATTTCAACTGTGAAAATACTGCAATCTCCGCAAATCCCCATATTGCAAATTTTAATAGTTTATCGTATAAAGTAAATTTAGGTCAAGTTCTTGCGTCCTATTTTTACTAGTACAGAAATACATATGTTTAAAGACAGATGATATTTTGGAGATGTCACTGAAATATTTTGAAGTTATTTGATTATGTTATTAAAGAACCTTATTAATATGAAACATTTATTAGAAAATGGTATCTAACATTTCAGTCATCGTAGATCTCCTCTGGACTAACATGGTTTTAAGTCCTTGTGTCACATACATACCGGCAGATAAAATTTTGATCTATACGAACACAAACAACACTTATTAATATGTCTGGTCTTGAATTAATTCACTGTATCAAATTATGCGTTGTGCTCCCAAATGCCCTGGTACGACCGAGGGTGGGGAAAGTCCGCTTTCCCTCTCGAAATGCTGTCACATGGCCACGTGCATACGATCACTGCTAGGGAAGTCCTACTCACTGCCTCCTCGCACCACGGGTGTTGTTTACGAAATTGTGAGAACGAAAGCGAATGTCCGGTGCCTTAACCTGGCTGACGGATATGGAGGATCCACCTAGGGAAGTTGGAAAACCCTGGTTCCAAACCAGTGGTGTACATGGGCTCCAGGATCCCAAGGAAACAAATGATGTATGAACCAATTGTTGGTCACCGGCTACCATAGGATTGCATCTCCTTACGTCGCTCCACTGCCTTGTGGATTAAACCTTTAGGGTGTGGCCCCCTAAGAAAACCACCTGCTTCGGCTTTGGCACCCGGGCACTATCACAGCCCTCACAAATTTGATGTGGTGACAAATATTTCGCAAAATACTATGCCCGCTCTGATCAGAACTCATACATTTCACTTTCACTTGATAACATTCTTCTTTATTATTATTACTACTACTTTTTTATGTACAACATCACTTTTTATTGTCACTTCATATATCCTCATTTTTCAAATTACACAGCAGCTAACCCATGGTGGAAACTCGGTTCTATCAAGACGATCTCGAGTCACTGTCTGGTCGAAAGTTGAATGCTTCCACCGAATAAGAATACTGAAGCAGTTTTTCTGAAACCACGTGGACCTTTCAAACTGGCTTCCTTCAACGTTTACACACTAATGCAGATCGGACAACAGATAGAGCTGGCTATGTCTTTGGAAAGTCTTCATATCGACGTTTGTTGTCTATCCGAGACCCGTATTCAAGACTCTGGTGAAGTACTACAAATTCGCTGTCCATCTGTCACTTCAAATAGCTTGTTTCATATGCATTTATCCGAGAACAGTGGCGTCTTCGTCCGGTTTTGCTGGCGTTGGTGTCGCACTAGAGCTGAGGCAGCTCTAATCGATTGGATCCCCGTTAACAGTCTGTTATGTGCTGTTAGATTAGAAAGTTCCATCAAAGTGAGAAGAAATCTGCGTGAGAAACGATGTCTTTTCGTCATCTCCGCCTATGCCCCGACAGATTGCAGCCCGGATGAATTTTACCACCATTTAACTGTTCTTCTTCATAAAGTGCGTTCGACAAGTAAAGTAGTACTAGCCGGAGACTTAAATGCTCAGGTCGGGCGTCTAGACATAGAAGAGAGTCGTTTAGGTTGCTAATGGGGACTTGTTGGTCGCAAGACAGATAACGGAGATCGTCTGCTGCAAATGTGCACAGATCACAACCTGTTTCTGGCTAGCAGTAACTTTCGGCATAGTCATCGCTGATGTGCCACCTGGCGTCCTCCCTCTGCATCTCAAGCCTTGACTCAGATTGATCACATTGCGATCAGCTACCGCTGGCGTGGCTTTGTACAAGACTGCCACTTCTTTTGGAGTACCTATCTGGACTCTGATCATGCCCTGGTCTGCGCCAATTTTACCTTACTTTCGGTGGCCAACGAATTCATCGTCCTAAACTCATTGATGTCAGTAAACTGATTGCAGCTTCTGTTGCTAGTAAGTATCAAACCGAGCTACGTTCTAGGCTAGCTACCGTCCCACCGAAAAATACAGATGAGCATTGGTTGCAATTGCAAGACGCCATGAGAATGGCGATCAAAGTCACTTGCGGCTTCGTGAAACGTCCGGGTTTCTTCAGGCTCCCTACAACTCATCGGAGCCCGTTGGTATACTTCGGGTGGCCGTGAGTGTGGCCAAAAACGAAGAAGTGCAAAATAATTTCACAAGACTGGCAGGACCCTGTACTCACTCTGGATGGTGAGCAGATAGAAGTAGTCGAGAAGTTCGTGTATCTAGGTAGCTGCATAAATGCTGGTGGTGGTGTGAATAATGAGATAAATGCACGTATAGTAAAAATCAGAGTGGTTTATGCCAATCTAGGCCATCTTTGGCACCTTCTGACGTTAGTCTGGCTTTAAAAGGTCGGATCTACAACGCGTCGGTGAGAGCAGTTATGCTCTATGCTTGTGAAACCTGGCCTCTCCGAGTTGAGGACGTTAGATGACTCTATGTCCGATCATCGTTGTCTCCGAAGGATTGCTGACATCCAGTGGCAACACCATGCTAGTAATGCAGAGGTTCCGAATCGTGTGTTCGGTCACAGAGACGATAATCCAATTGGTGTCACTATCTTGAAACATCGACTTCGGTCGCTTGGATGTGTTCTACAAATGTCGTCCCAGTGAATTCCACGTCGTGCATTATTTGCCAACCCAGTGACTGGTTGGAAAAAGTGGAGAGTAGATCAGTGTATGACATGGTGTCGTGGTATGAAAGAAAGCTGTACATGACTGGCTTCTGTTGGTCTTTCACGACTACCTGGTTTGGGTCCTAGAGATCGTGCAACACAGTGACTAGAGACGTAATCAGATATGGCTCAGAATACAAGCCAGTGGCGATCTGCTGTAACCTTCTTTTACTTTCTTCATGAAACGTGACCGTACCTTCTTTAACTGAAAGGATTCTTTCTGTTTCCCCCATTATTATTCCACTACCATACACTAATTTGTAGTCGTTATTGTTCTCTTTACATGCAACTTACATATTTTATCTCTTCTCATTATTATTCTGTGGCGCATATGTAACTGGTGCCCCCTTGTACCAATATTTATATGTTCAAATAAATAAATGCGTTGTTATCACAAACTAACAACTGTTGTTGATTTCATCATCACTTATTCCATCAGTGGAAAAGTTATGCGAAATAAAACCTTAGGCTGTCCAGTCATATAGTATTGAATTTCTTAATTTCACATAATTTACAATATTATTTTATTCTATCAAACGAAATTTATCGTGCCAGTGACTTGGAAGATTAAGGTTATGTTTGTTTATATTAGTTTTTACAGTTTATCCAGAGGCACACTACTAATTATTATTGCTTAATGAAATCGATCACAGATACCTACCTAAATTAGTTTTGCGACTGTTTCAAATGTGAAATGGTCTCGTAGTAAACGATATTTTCAAATTTCATTTTCTCAAATAGAAAATAAATTTTATTTTAGACGCTAAAACTTCGAAAAACAATGTTATTTACTTTTATATTAATGTCCCAACAGCATTTTAACTTTTATTCTATGATCCACGACTTTGTTGACCTGATTAGCAAGTTTTTTTAGTAAGGCTATTCATTTACCGGATGAAGTTGCTGACCCCATGCCCTACACACTTCTCCCATATCCGGGCTTGAGGCTGTCTGTAATCTTAGGATGGTTCCAGGTTGGGTTTACTTATTTTATACTGATAACTTTTCGGACGACGAATTGTTGCATAGTTGGATGAATTTTATTTATTAATTATCTGACTTAATCTTTTGTATATCTTATAGCAGAGCATGCCCATGACCCTTCAGATCTATGCTTAACCACCAAACCAGAGTCAATACCAGATAGTTTAAAAGTACGGAGCTAACACGAAAACTAATCACAAAAAGGTCATGTGTGAGCGACTTCAAACAGTTGTCTCTTGGGCACTGTTGTCACGTTCTCAGGTCACTAAAACCACCCCTAACCCAATTTCTTTTTCAGGTGCCTCTAGAAGATCCCTTCAACGGTGTGGGCAACCGGGAAGTGGTGACCGCCCTCAGACCTCTAATAGCACTCAAGATCACTGTATTACCTGAGTTTTCAAATTTGGTCAGCCATCTGCCAATATCGGTGGGTTGGTAACAGCCTCATATCTAACATAGCTGAGCTCTACTTACCAAAGCTTTTACATTATGATTTAAGGAATTCTCATAATTAATCATTATTTGAGGATACAATCACTATTAATATAAAGGGGTTTGGGGAGATCGTTGAACTTTATAGTTTAAGTCACAGGGTAACCTTAGACAACTAATGAAAACTAAGAAGCAGTGTACAATTATTCCTTCCTAGTGTTTTCTGCTAAGCCATAATTCTGAAACAATTTTCACTTATTTAGACAAGCATCAAAATAGCAATTTATAAATGCAGAAACCAATCATGCTTTTTATTTAACAAGCACATTTCAGCAGACAATTATGATAGGACTAATTGATTTAAACCACATAAAAACCTTCCGTTTTTCTATTTTTTACTGTATTTGCTTGCAGGTGCGGCAAATACTTCGTTTATTGTCAGCATCCAGAGTTCAGAAGATTTCGTATTTATCTACTCTACTATAATGCGTATATTCTCTTTCCAATCGGAAATATTTCAGAGACAGCAAGCGTATGGTTTACTCTAGTTCTATCTGTAGAACGTTACTTAACTATGAGCCAAATAGGCTCAGCATATCAAAATAAACTCAGGATGCAATCACCTAACACATTACCTTCAAAACAAAAAAGTGAAATATTGTATAACACAAATCATTCAACTTATACCATAGAATATCAAGAAACTTTTAATGAAGATAAAAAATTGCCAAAAAAGGATTCAATTGAAACAGTAGAAAATGTAGTGGAACAGCAACAGCATCGTGAACAACAAACAACGGTGGGTAATTTCAAATGGTATGAAAAGCTCTCGAACTGTTGTAATTTATCAGTATTAAAACAACATATCAGAAATAGTTTGACCAATATTCCAACGCCAAAGTCTTTATGTATCTTACATAAATTACACCATTCACATTTAGATAGATCAATAGGACGTTGTAGTTTAAATAAATGCATACAACTGTATGCTTGCCGAAATTGTAACTTTAAACATTCACTAGTTTTTATAACATTTTTCAGTATACTACTTAATTTGCCACTATTCTTTGTTCAAAAAGTTGTCAGGAAAAATAATCCTATAAAAAAATCAACAATTAAACAAATGGAAAACAATAAAACAAGTGAGTGGCTACATACGATATCAAACCACTTCAATAATTTAACTTCAACTGATAATCAATACAATCAGGGTCAAATACAAGTTTTCACTGGGCTTACAGAATTCGGTAATTCAGACTTTTATAAAATCTTCTCATGGACACGTATTATGTTAATACAAGTTTTACCGTTATTATTCCTATGCTTCGTCAATTTTTGTTTATTACGTTTCATACATATAGCAAATAAACGTCGTCAAAGGTACTTATTACCAGATTTGTCTAATAAAAAAACCGGCCGTTTTAAATTACATAAAGCAAATTTGCGCAGTACAAAAGTTAATAAAGCTTCAAGCGCCAAATGGCAAGCGGCACAGCGTAAATTAACCATTTTATTAATTGTTATTATCTGTTTATTCATAGCCGGACAAATACCACAAGCATTTGCATATATTACTATATTTGAAGCATTTAATAGACATTTTGGTAATGTATGCAAACGATGGAGATGTTGTCCTCCATATTTGATTTATCGTTCAATAGCGCATATGTTGGGCTTATTTACTTACTCTACTAATTTTTTTGTTTATCTTACATTGAATAAACATTTCAAACAACAATTAAACATTTGGTTCCTATTAATATGCCCTATTAGTAAACAATTTCGGAAAAAGTGTTTATTAAAACAAAACAAATCAATAAATCATTCTTATGATCAGTCAAAATCTAAATTATCATTCACAAATCAACATAAATCAATATCTCTACCTCATAATAATCTTTATTATCGTATGTGTAAAAGAAGATGTTCATCTACGCTATTTTGTAATCCTACAAAACGACTAATATCAATTGATAATACAGATTTATCTTCTGAAGCTGTTTCAGCTCCAGTTGATTTATGCACTAGTTCAAAATGGAAAAATAAAGATTTTCTACAATTAAATGAAATGAAAAAAGATCTATTATCAACAACTATTCATCATTCCCCTCAATGTATAAACAAAATCAATTCAATTATTAAATCAGAAAATACTATTGATTATATCAAAATGAATTATTCCTCAGTACCTGCTATTAATGAAGTATCAAACTATTTAGTTATATCAAATCCTGTCAATACAGATAATAATCTGCTTTGTAAACCTATAGAAACTCAATTTCAACAATCCTCTTTAATCACTAAAAATAATGACCTATCAATTGATTCTATACAACCAACAAATTGTCAAACAGAAATAAAATATGATTTAAATAATCCATCATGTATTTACAAAACTTTTCGTGCTTATTATTCACATGATTCAGTGATAAAAAATTGGATATTTCAATTAACTAATAATAATTATAATAATAATCAGAATTCTCAAAATACTAAACAAATTACAACATCACAATCACATTCAATTTATTCAAATCAATTAATAACAAATAAAGATAATTTAAACAATGATTTACAACATGAGCAATATGTTCAGAATTATGATAAGCGTAAAGAAGATATGATTAATGATGCAAAACAAAATATTATACGTTGTGTAAATCTTAATATGTTGCGCAATAGTAATAATAATAATAAAGATTATTATAATAAAAGTAATGATAATATTAGTAATAGTACTAATAGTAGTACTAGTAAGAACAGTAATAGTGCGATAACAAATTCAAAAACTTGTACTCATTCAATAATTGATTCTGATTCACATGGTGTTGGTTTGACATTTTCACATGTTTATTGTCCACTTATATATAGAGAGAGTGATTTTGATGTGATTTCAGTTGATGAAAGTAATGCACAAGATGACCCAGAGCCAAATTCATTTTTATAAAGTTAAGTATATGTTTTATGAAATAACATATGAACATTTGTTTATAATAAAAGAATTAATATTTTCGTTCTTAATGTTATATCTAATATAAGAAGACTAGGATCTATGTATCGTTGAAACATACTAGCACATAAATAAACAACATAGTATATATCTAACATTATTCTGAGATATAAATACTTGCCATCGTTTCAATATTGTTTCTTCATTTATAGTTTTACCATGGTCATCATCATCGTATGAGTAGATTTCTTCCTGATACATCGGTGTATTTTATAATAGATATAAATATTTATATACATAAACATTTCACTGTGAATGATATTTATGGTATAATATACCTGTTGCAGTATATAAAATTAATGTACAGTAAAATTATTTTTATTGAACAAGCTATAAGGTCATTCCTACTTATAGAAAGAAAAAAGAATGTATTGACAAATATTTTTCTAAAAAATATATATAAATGTATTTTTATGTTGCCCGTAGTCTGATCTTACTTTATAAACTTGCTGTACGAGTACAACTTTTTTGTAGTACACTATTAGATAGAGCCTTATTACATTTTCTAAACTATTCATAATGCTGTAAAGCATATATATATTTCAATAGTACCTGAATTATTCATTAGGTTACAAGATTCAAATAAAACTTATTGCAATAAACGAATTTTCCATTTGTTAAAAGGCAGATTTTGTGAAGTTTAACCTTGAAATAAAGACTAACTACGCTATACAGTGCAGATCTAAACATTATTTACTTTATTTAAAACTTAATCATTAGAGATGCTTTCATTCTATTATCTTGATTGAGTGACTTCATATATACATTAGAGCTATATAAAGAGGGTATCTAATCATCAGAAATATTGCTATGATCAATGCACCAAGCTTGTATTTTGCATCAAGAACAGCTATTCGAGGATAAATTTCGTTTCTGTATATAACTTGATAGCTTATAAAAATAAGATCGTATAAACCATTTTAAACGCTGAATGAAAATATGCTTTCACATATTTTATCTAAACACACAAGAAGCAGATGACTGATATGTAGATTTTTAACTGTAAATAAAAATTGAGTGTTTGTCAATAATGTTGCCATTTACTAAATAATTCTTCAATGTCACTTACACTTCCATGTTGTAACTTAAAAATATTGCTTCTTCCACTGAAAGCTTCGATAGTTTTAAACTAAATAACATCCATGGGTTATATTTTGGCACTATAAGACTGGGTGTGCGGCATTTCATATTAACTAACAGTTTGGTTATACATTCATGGGTCAAGTGATTACTAACCTACAGAAACAACTCTTTGTTCAAATAAGAATTCATCATAAAAACCCTGAATCTTTGTGCGATACAAAAAAAAAAAAAGAAAAGCAGGAGAGAAACACAGCAAACTGAACATTAGGTAAAGGGGCCTTCCGGAGGATAATTCAATTAGCAGATATTAAACGGAACGAAGTAATCAAGATTCAAGTATCAATAGAACCAAAGAGCAATAGGAACCATTTCCGAAATAGTAACGAACAATATTTGAGTGTTCAATATTCCAAAAACCAGTAAGTCATTTAAAGATGAAATCTAGGATTTTTCATAGTACGTTCTAAAAAGGGAGCAAAAACATATCAACAGGCGGTTGACAACAAGAAACATGCAAACTGATAAGTCGTGTAGGTTGAACGCTATAAACGATTCCTAAGCTATTTCGGTAACCCGCAGTCTAGAACTACACAGCGACTTGAACTCCAGAGAGAAGACACAAGAATGAGAGAAAACACTTTATTCCAAGGTTCATTCTAGTACAGAAAATCAAGGGTATTTATAGATGTAGCTGCCTGTTAAATTGACATCATACTTCAGCCAATCCGTTAACGTCATATAATGCTACCGACCAATGGTAGCACGCCACGCTGGAATTCTCGAACGTTCCATCATACTCTGATTGGATAGGCATTTCGGCTCCTTTTCGGGCCACTGGAGGCTCCGTTGAAGTTCTCCGGAAGCCGAAACAACACAAACACATTTCCTTAAAAACTTCACATTTCCGTATAAAAGACGCATAACAGAAACTAAAGAACACTCCTAACAGACCATAGACAAAATTAACAAATAAAATTAAAAAAATCTCACTTTAACTTCAATGAGCGCGAATATAGAATGCGAGGTGAATTCTAACCACATTTCTAAATCTAACAAAACTGTTCGCAACCAGTACACGACTACACAATCCGGCTACGTGAGTCAAGCTTACACTTACCAAACCAAAGATATCACATAGAACACAAACAATGGAAACCCTAGTAGCCGGGAAACAATTTTGCGCAGTATACTACTTCATACGTAGGCGACTGGTGCTGCAACTGCGTAATAGAAACATTGACGACAAATAAAAGATGAACAAAAGTAAACCTTCTAGACACCATCTATCTTTCCAATCGACACTTAATACCGATGTGTATCGTCGAAACAACCAATTTATCCCAACACAATAGACCCTACCCAATGCACCATTGTGATCACTGACTTGTCTCGACATTTATACATGCAATCTGTATATATCTATTATACTTCGTTACGTTCAGTGCTGGAAACCCATTTGACAATTTATCCTGAAGAGATCACCTCACAGTCAACACCCGAACTTGAAACTGACACATCAGTCAAGAAACACTGTGCTAAGCACCTGTTCTTTGTTGGTGACCTACAACAAACTGTCCTCGTACACAAACTCCAGTCTGATCTTTATTCGATGGAATATAGCATTTACACACTTCCAAAATAGATATATCCCACCGTCTTTATCGATGTTCAAGCCAGTTCGCATAAAATTCCGTTAAATTTAGACTAAGAAACTAATGAGCATCAACATTTAAATACATAAAGCATACTATCAGGCTGCTGGATAAGCCATCAAACACACGAAGACCTCCTTAAACTAAGCATATGAAGTATGTAGTGTAAACCATTTATTAAGCACAGGCTTATAAACTCGACTTTGAGTCGCACTGTTTATATGAAAGCTAATGATACTAACCGAATTCCCCAAACCGAGGTAGGTGAGGTGGGGTTAGAGCCCGCAACTTATCGGTTGATATATACTTACAACACTGAAACGACCATGTTCAGCGCATTGTCAAAACATTGCATTGGAATCACGACGACTAATACGATACAATACAATACGTTACATACCCAACGCACAATAGAAGGCAGACGTTAAATGCCTTACCGAAGGCGCAAATTCTTCGGACACTTCATAATACGGTTATCTGTTATATATTTTGGAAAATGTTTTATCAATTACTCCAGTGGCTTACCGTACGCATCAGGATAACCAGAATCTAGGCCCGAAGAACGGGGTTAGAACCACCACTTTTCGGCAATCCTGCTGCAGTCATGTAACCACCCCCACAGCTCACACACCCACCAGCATGAACAACCTTGGTTGTCAACGCCAAATGTCCGCAAGCAAATTCTGTTCACGCTTTGAGAATTGGCTATCTTGGTTACTCTGTAGAGCAACCTTTAGACCTACACCGACTAATCCCCATAACACAATGTGTGAACAGCTACAGCACCACAGCAAAACCTGCTAGTCTCACTGTAATAACGTGAAAAAGCTGATTTTTCTGGATACAACCAGGTATAACTGAGCACTAGAACACCAAACCCTTCCAAGTCGCAATAAGAAGACAGAAGACTAACGAAAGGAATATTATTCCAAACAGTGTCAAACATAGTACAAAATTATCAGGTATTTATAGTTTTTAGTGAGAACGAAATCATCATTACAGTCTTCCAATCCGCGTACAGGGGGTTATTAACATTATCCAATCGGGAAGATACACGTTGGAATTCTAGAACATTCTTCCGACAGGTGATTGGATGGAAAGTCTTCGGCTCCATCTGAGTCTCTTACAGCTTCCCCGAGTTCACCGGTGGTCCGTTGTCACACCTCCCCCCTTTAAAATCCGTTGTGTAAGACTTTTTTCTTGGATCCACCTGAAGCTTGGGTGTTGCATTCCTCTTGCGGTCCATTACTCTCGAGGGTTGTACAGCTTTCTCTCTGTGTCGTTTGTCTTTTCGATATTCGCGCTCATGATGGTTCTTCTGAGATGAATCTACGAGCAATTGAAATGGAAACCGGTTTTCTGTGACCACTGTACTATCATTTCTTTGCATTTGATTTATATGTCTTATGCATTTCCCCACATCTTTCCGGACTAGGTACAACACATTTCCGATTCGACGTTATATGACACCTGGTTCCCACTTCCTATTACCTTGATACGATCTGACAAGTACCTTTTCACGCACCTGGAAGCTACGATTGACCTTACGATTTTCATTCGTGGGTTTATTTGTCTTTCTGAGCGGCAACATACTGTTAAAAACTGTCCGGATTTTCCTTCCGAACATACACTCGGCCGGAGACTTTCCTTCTGGTACTGCCGGATTAGGGGTAACTCTGTAAGACATCAAGAACTTATTAATCACTTGTTCCGGGACACCCTCACCTCCCCCTTTGACCAGAGCTCTTTTAGTTGTATCCACGAATCTTTCTGCCTGGCCATTCGACTGAGGATGGTATGGAGGAGATTGTAGATGCAATATGCCATTCTCGTTGCAGAAGCGTTTGAAGGCGGATGACATAAACTGAGTACCATTGTCGGTCACTAAGATCTCTGGAACCCCAAAACAGGCAAACAACCCTGACAATCTTCTTATGGTACTCTCTGAAGTCGTATTCGGCATGACATATACTTCTGGCCATTTTGTGAAAGCATCTACAACAACTAAGTAATTCCTGCCTTGTATTGGCCCGGCGAAATCAGCATGTATTCTTTGCCAAGGCCCGTCCGGGTTCGGCCATGGTTGTGGTTCAACTTTCGTTGGATTCTTTGCAGCCTCTAGACAGGACCAACAGCTGCGACATTTTTGCTCTATCTCATGGTCCATTGACGGCCAGAATGCATAGCTACGAGCTAGTGACTTCATTTTACTTATCCCCGGATGCCCGCTGTGGAACTGTTTAATGACTTGGTGTCGAAGATTTCTAGGGATAACGATACGATGGCCAAACATTATACATGAATCGACAACTGTTAATGACTCTCGTCGACGAAAGTATTGTAAGAGTTCTCCGTGTAATCTAGATGAAGGCCATTTATTGAGTATGCAATGGAGAACAATCTTTAATACATTATCCTTCTTGCTGGCCTCTTTAATGACTTCAAATGTGACCGGGAGTCCGGAAACTGCGTCTGACAATATTTTGTGAACCTCGGCCTCGACATCTATAGCAGCTACAAGCACCTCTTCTTCTTGTTTTTCATGCAGACCAATCAATCTTGAGTGTGCATCTGCCTGTCCGAAATCCGTTGTTGGTTGATAATTTATCTTGAAATCATAACCCAGCAGTGTGGTAGCCCATCTCTGTAGCCGGTTTGCTGTAAATACCGGGATGCCTTTTTTAGATCCAAAAACTGTCAGTAAAGGTTTATGGTCTGTAAGTAAGGTGAACTGCCTACCAAACAACATCTTGTGGAACTTTTTTACAGCAAATATAATCGCGAGGGCTTCTTTTTCTATTTGACTGTAGTTTCTTTCAGTCATAGTCAGCGATCTCGCAGCGTGAGCGATTGCTTTCTCAGATCCGTCAGGGTAGGCATGTGAAATTACTGCTCCAATTCCGTAGTTCGACGCATCTGCTGCGACTATAATTGGAAGATCGGGGTCATAGTGTGTAAGGAGAAGGTTCGATGATAGAAGCTGCTTCAGTTTTAGGAATGCTTCTTGGCATTCAGTTGACCAGAACCATTTAGTATCCTTTTTCAATAAGCAATTAAGAGGAGCACGATGGCGATGCAGATCTGGAAGAAAAACTCCATAATGACTAACCATTCCCAAGAAAGAACGTAAAGTTGACACATCCGTCGGTGGAGGCATGGACTTAATGGCTTCGACATTTTCAGGATCAGGTTTTCTCCCGTTTTTATCAATTATGAATCCCAAATACCGGACTTGCTCCATGTAAAAATCACATTTTTCGGCACGCAGTCTGAATCCATAATCTGCCATGCGTCTGAGAACCGTATCCACCTTATTCTCTAAATCAGCATAGTCTGTACCCATGATCAATATATCGAGATAAGCCGCGGTACCAGGAATGTCTTGTGACATAGTGTCCATAACTTGTTGGAAGATTGAAGGGGCAGTCTTTACTCCAAAAGGAAGTCGGTTATATCGGAACAATCCCTTGTGAGTGTTTATTGTCAAGTAATGCTTACACTCATCCGCTACCGGAATCTGTAGATAAGCGTCTGACAGGTCTAATTTCGCAAAATACTTACCCCCATTCAGTTTCGCAAATAAATCCTCTGGTACCGGCAATGGGTATTGATGGGTTTCAAGCGCTTCATTTAATCCAGTTGAATAATCTGCACATAACCGGATACTTCCATTAGGCTTTTTAACAATCACTATTGAAGCTGCCCAATCAGAAAAGTTTACTGGTTCGATTATTCCACTTCTTTGCAGACGCTCTAATTCTTGTTCAACAATAGGTAGCGCTGCATAAGGTACCGGACGTTTTGGTCTGAAGACGGGGGTGACTCCCGGTTTAAGAATCAATAGTGCTTTAACCTTTTTGCATTCCCCCAACTCTTCCGTAAACACTCGACTGTGTCTTTCCAATACAACACTCTTCAGATCCTTTTCCACCGGTTTACTGGTTCTCACTGCGCTGCATATGTGGTTAATGGGGTGATTTGCTAATTGAAGTGCTTCTATCAAGTCTAGACCTAGCAAATCTAGTCCTGGATTCTGTGTAAGATATAAAGTTGCATTCGTTTTCATATTTCCTTTCGAGACTGTACAACAAACCTCTCCAACAATATTTAGTTTTCCTCCAGATGCGCTGTGAGCTAACTGGGTTGTTGGGAGCACCTGTGGTTTACCGATAAGATTCCAAGTTCTCCGACTAATAAGTGTGATGTCAGAAGCGGTGTCGAGTTGCAGGCGGGCACGCTTTTTATTTATATCCAAGTTTACATACTTTCTTTGGCGGCAAATCCGTGCTCGATTATGTGATACCAATATTTTGTTAGTTCGAGCACTAAATCTGTATTTCTTCGAGTAGGGTTTCAAAGAATGTCGTTTGTGGGTTCTTTTTCTGCAGCAGTTTTCTTTATGTCCCTTGCGATGACACTTGCTACAACAATGTTCTTTATATGGGCAGAACCTTTTATAATGCCAACCACCACAAGACCAACATGGAGATGAAGGCTGATTATCTGTGTGCGATGCCTTTCTTGAGCAAGAATCGTTCTTTCCGCTTACAGCACGAACGTATGGCAACTGGCCATTATTTTCGACCATCGAAGTGTCATGCTTTAGGTTCACCAATCTCTGGCACTCTGCGGTTACTTCTTGTAGTGTCATATTCGGACATTGTTCAATTTTACTCAAAATTCTGGTTCTAATATCGGCCTCTTCGGGAGATTGGAGGCTGCACACAAATACGAGACACTTAAACTGGTCTTCTGTCATTGCTGATAGTTTGAAGCGCTCACATTCACGGTTTACTAAACCCGCATGCTTCACCCAGTCATCATCACCTGCTTTTGTCATCTTGAGACATTGATAACGAATATTAAACAAGGATGACTGTTCAGCAAAGATTTGCGACAAAATTTCAATCGTTGCATCGAAAGAAAAATCTCTTGGATTCTTTGGAAGGATAAAGTTACTGTAACGTTCATGTTCAACAGTTCCAAGTTTTCGCAAGAGTATTCTGAGCTTAGCGGCGTCATCAAGTTTTTTGAGGTCGACCTTGAACAAATCTTCATATTTCTTGAACCAAGTTTCAAAAGTAATGCCAGCTGAACCATCAAAATTAAATTCATGAATAGAATTAACAATCTGGTCAACATGAGCATTGAAGGGATCATCTAAAACTTCTTTTTGATCCAGGTTCATTTTCTGAGTAAGCATCTCTATCATGCGCATCTGAAACTGTTCAAAACGTTTTTCTTGGCGTTCCAATAAGGCTTCAAATGGTTCAAAGGTAAATGACATATTGGTACAATAACTCGTCGCCAGATGTTATAACTTGAAAAAGCTGATTTTTTTGGATACAACCAGGTATAACTGAGCACTAGAACACCAAACCCTTCCAAGTCGCAATAAGAAGACAGAAGACTAACGAAAGGAATATTATTCCAAACAGTGTCAAACATAGTACAAAATTATCAGGTATTTATAGTTTTTAGTGAGAACGAAATCATCATTACAGTCTTCCAATCCGCGTACAGGGGGTTATTAACATTATCAAATCGGGAAGATACACGTTGGAATTCTAGAACATTTTTCCGACAGGTGATTGGATGGAAAGTCTTCGGCTCCATCTGAGTCTCTTACAGCTTCCCCGAGTTCACCGGTGGTCCGTTGTCACACTCACCATCAGACAGCCGCTTTGCCGGAAAGATTTAACTGCACACCAGCACAACTATGTTTCCAGATTAACAGCTAAACTCCGAGTTAAAAATCTGCAAACAGCTAACTGATCAAAACTGTCTCGCCTGACACTGCGAACAACAGCAATCTCCCATGTATCAGCATAGCATACAGGCAATCCATATCGGCAGGATATTAGCTGATAAGAAAAGCAAAAGGCTTAGTTAGATGATAGATTCATGATATATATGTATAAACCAATAAAAACAATGAACAAGTTAAATAAGCGTCAGCAGTCAACGTCGTTCTCTTGATAACGACCGACTATAATGTCGGGGAGAAGAAGGAAGACGATATCGATCGTTCATTCTACGTGGTGACCGCCTGTCACGACCAGACGAGAAAGAACGAGAACGCCGTCCATTACGTCGCGGAGTAACCGATCGTCTGAAAAGTTAAAAGTGAACTCATTTGCGAGAATACAGTTACACAAAAATAGTGATAAATGATGCATGCAAGCGGACACCAATAATTAAAGAGAGAAGTAGAACAAATATAACAAGATAAATTGGAATATAGAGAGAATAATTAACTAGCTATACCTACACTTATTACCAAGTAAAACACAATACTCAATGCACACAGTACACTAAACATATAAAAACTTCACTGTCGGGAAATTCTTCATACAGACTAACAAGCATCCACATAAGATTGGTTTGCATATAACACGCAAATACTACATAATCGTTACTCATAGTAGGCTAAATCCTAATAGTATACTTCTCATCCACAACGCTTTCTATTTGTTATCTCATCTATATGGGCTGTCCAAATGTCAGGCAATCACATGGTCAAACCCAAACGAACAATCCCTAATTAATCAAATCAATTTGTATGGAAAACAATTGTAGAAACGGTACTAGAGGCACGTGAATACCATTAGCGACCGTCTACTTCAATATAGCATTTTTGGGAGACCAGAACGATATCCTGGTACTATGAAAATGCACAAAAATCTAACATCTGAATCTGCAACTTTGTAGGAGAGATTCACAGTAGACAGTAGTTTTGCCAACAAATCAATCCTTTCAATATAGCATTCCTAAAACACCTGACTACAGTCAGGCTCTAGCGGAATGCACAAGAAGAATCATGTTTCAATATGTAGAAGCAATTTTAACGGGATGCGATGCACACCGCCAGTGATTGCTACGTTCATTTTGGCATCACTGAAGCACTAGGCTTGTTAACCAGCCTTCGTCAGATGCCATTCACTAAACATCTTTATCATTTGGTTCTACTACATATACGTGTATACTCCAGTTCCTGTTACAGCACTACACACTGGCCATTCTTCATAGTTCCACATCGATTCGCCTCCTCACAGGCGCGCAACGGCAACTCTTACGAGATATAACGCGCTCCCCTCAAGAGCCACCAGAAGATTCCTGCGAAATCCAATATCACTTCCGTGACGCTTCGTTAAGCGGACATAAATTCAACAGACCAAAGTCCATAAATGATTTCATGCCACATCCATTCACACCACTGAATAAAAACTTCTCCTGTATTTTCCCACTTTCCCGTCAACGCCCGCTTACCATGCTTCTTCTATTACTACTTATATGGTATCCGCTCACAAATTCATTGCTCAATCAAACTGTCTTGACGTAAAAAAATAGCAGCCTCATTAATCGAAGTCTAACATTTAACAATTGTACCCTTAAAAAGAATAACACGTTGCACAAATCCGAAAGGCATGATACCCACTTGAAACACAAAATGCATGACAACCAGTTATCAATTCATCAGCTGAGCACAAACAACATGTCACCACCAATACTGTGGGGCACCAACTGTTAACTCTGTTTACTACACAAACACAACAATACATTATTTCATTATCTCACCAATTGTAAAAACACCGGCGCAGTTTCTCTATACATCATCAAAACCTAACTAAGTCCCAACCGCGGCCACAACGCAATTCAACCATCACTCCTCAACGACGGTCCTCCTCCTACCAATCGTACAACTCAGTGCAGTGAGACGTCACTGAATATGACTCAGAAGAAAAACCGGTGGTGATTATTCGGTAGTCCTATTTGACGTTCCTCCGAAACTTGAACTGTATCTCTTAAAGTCCTCATTCTCGTCGTGACTACAGGACTTCCCCAGCCATTTTGTCTCTTTGAACACCTATCTTCACTTCGTATCATCTGGTGCGTTTCCTAGCACTCAATTGTACCAAACACGTTACGTGTTACAAATAAATAATGCGAGCAACATACACATAATCAAATCTGCACAGACACCCACTTGGATGAAAGAAGGTTAATTCCCAACAAATGAACGACCATATGACTCAGTAGAAACTTACAACCAACTAACATCACTCTACTACATTGAACCCGAGTGAAAACTGCACGATACTTACAAGTGGTTGACACAATCACTCAAACTAACAGTCGGTAGGACAAACACATAATTTTCCCCACTCCCTCCTTCTATTCACGATCTCGTGTCGAATTCGCCGACTTATACACCAACAAAACAATTCCTGATCAACGTGAAACACATGAACGCACAATGCTAATTCTTGCGAAAATCTAACACTTCTCTTGCAGCACAATCAAAAACAAAATTTTAAACACATACATACCTGCCTTCATTAATCTAACAGCACTTCGGTTCATATACACAAACCGTCTGACATATTCATTATCCACCTAACCCTATCGGTGACTACACTAATGACCACACCTAACTACAATCGACCTGAGCACATCCCCATAGAATAACACCGGGTTAGATAGAACCACTCAATGCTAAACTAAACAATATTAGACATCGTCCACATCACTTGCGGCTATCAAACACCAATTTGTTCAGCAACATTTGACAGGCAAACGCCCAATCAGATCACATATAACACCATAGACACCTCATTACACTTTAGGCGCAATACACTTAACATTGCAGCAGTCAGTCACACCCCACTTCCATGTCATTGTAACAACTGGCACTCATATGCAAGCAACATTATCGAATCACACTCTGCACAATTTAGGGTGAGTAAATCCCATAAACTGATTGAACTCAGAAGAACAATCCCCAATCAATCAAATCAATTTGTATGGGAAACAATTGTAGAAACGGTACTAGAGGCACGTGAATACCATTAGCGACCGTCTACTTCAATATAGCATTTTGGGAGACCAGAACAATGTCCTGGTACTATGAAAATGCAATACCAATCTCCAACCAGGTTTACAGAGACTCGTAATAAACATAAGTACATGCTACTGCAAAAACTCTAGGATGGGAAACGTCAATGACTATTGTTTATTTTAATCTAGCACTGACCGAAACTAGAATCATACACACACTCCACACAACACCCTATAGGGAACAAACAATGTAGGAGCTATTCAGGAAGCAAAATCGCCTCCACAAATACCCTCCGTTTAATGTAGCATCCTTCTGACACCCGACCAGAGTCAGGCTCTAATAGAATGCGAGATGAATTCTAACCACATTTCTAAATCTAACAAAACTGTTCGCAACCAGTACACGACTACACAATCCGGCTACGTGAGTCAAGCTTACACTTACCAAACCAAAGATATCACATAGAACACAAACAATGGAAACCCTAGTAGCCGGGAAACAATTTTGCGCAGTATACTACTTCATACGTAGGCGACTGGTGCTGCAACTGCGTAATAGAAACATTGACGACAAATAAAAGATGAACAAAAGTAAACCTTCTAGACACCATCTATCTTTCCAATCGACACTTAATACCGATGTGTATCGTCGAAACAACCAATTTATCCCAACACAATAGACCCTACCCAATGCACCATTGTGATCACTGACTTGTCTCGACATTTATACATGCAATCTGTATATATCTATTATACTTCGTTACGTTCAGTGCTGGAAACCCATTTGACAATTTATCCTGAAGAGATCACCTCACAGTCAACACCCGAACTTGAAACTGACACATCAGTCAAGAAACACTGTGCTAAGCACCTGTTCTTTGTTGGTGACCTACAACAAACTGTCCTCGTACACAAACTCCAGTCTGATCTTTATTCGATGGAATATAGCATTTACACACTTCCAAAATAGATATATCCCACCGTCTTTATCGATGTTCAAGCCAGTTCGCATAAAATTCCGTTAAATTTAGACTAAGAAACTAATGAGCATCAACATTTAAATACATAAAGCATACTATCAGGCTGCTGGATAAGCCATCAAACACACGAAGACCTCCTTAAACTAAGCATATGAAGTATGTAGTGTAAACCATTTATTAAGCACAGGCTTATAAACTCGACTTTGAGTCGCACTGTTTATATGAAAGCTAATGATACTAACCGAATTCCCCAAACCGAGGTAGGTGAGGTGGGGTTAGAGCCCGCAACTTATCGGTTGATATATACTTACAACACTGAAACGACCATGTTCAGCGCATTGTCAAAACATTGCATTGGAATCACGACGACTAATACGATACAATACAATACGTTACATACCCAACGCACAATAGAAGGCAGACGTTAAATGCCTTACCGAAGGCGCAAATTCTTCGGACACTTCATAATACGGTTATCTGTTATATATTTTGGAAAATGTTTTATCAATTACTCCAGTGGCTTACCGTACGCATCAGGATAACCAGAATCTAGGCCCGAAGAACGGGGTTAGAACCACCACTTTTCGGCAATCCTGCTGCAGTCATGTAACCACCCCCACAGCTCACACACCCACCAGCATGAACAACCTTGGTTGTCAACGCCAAATGTCCGCAAGCAAATTCTGTTCACGCTTTGAGAATTGGCTATCTTGGTTACTCTGTAGAGCAACCTTTAGACCTACACCGACTAATCCCCATAACACAATGTGTGAACAGCTACAGCACCACAGCAAAACCTGCTAGTCTCACCATCAGACAGCCGCTTTGCCGGAAAGATTTAACTGCACACCAGCACAACTATGTTTCCAGATTAACAGCTAAACTCCGAGTTAAAAATCTGCAAACAGCTAACTGATCAAAACTGTCTCGCCTGACACTGCGAACAACAGCAATCTCCCATGTATCAGCATAGCATACAGGCAATCCATATCGGCAGGATATTAGCTGATAAGAAAAGCAAAAGGCTTAGTTAGATGATAGATTCATGATATATATGTATAAACCAATAAAAACAATGAACAAGTTAAATAAGCGTCAGCAGTCAACGTCGTTCTCTTGATAACGACCGACTATAATGTCGGGGAGAAGAAGGAAGACGATATCGATCGTTCATTCTACGTGGTGACCGCCTGTCACGACCAGACGAGAAAGAACGAGAACGCCGTCCATTACGTCGCGGAGTAACCGATCGTCTGAAAAGTTAAAAGTGAACTCATTTGCGAGAATACAGTTACACAAAAATAGTGATAAATGATGCATGCAAGCGGACACCAATAATTAAAGAGAGAAGTAAAACAAATATAACAAGATAAATTGGAATATAGAGAGAATAATTAACTAGCTATACCTACACTTATTACCAAGTAAAACACAATACTCAATGCACACAGTACACTAAACATATAAAAACTTCACTGTCGGGAAATTCTTCATACAGACTAACAAGCATCCACATAAGATTGGTTTGCATATAATACGCAAATACTACATAATCGTTACTCATAGTAGGCTAAATCCTAATAGTATACTTCTCATCCACAACGCTTTCTATTTGTCATCTCATCTATATGGGCTGTCCAAATGTCAGGCAATCACATGGTCAAACCCAAACGAACAATCCCTAATTAATCAAATCAATTTGTATGGAAAACAATTGTAGAAACGGTACTAGAGGCACGTGAATACCATTAGCGACCGTCTACTTCAATATAGCATTTTTGGGAGACCAGAACGATATCCTGGTACTATGAAAATGCACAAAAATCTAACATCTGAATCTGCAACTTTGTAGGAGAGATTCACAGTAGACAGTAGTTTTGCCAACAAATCAATCCTTTCAATATAGCATTCCTAAAACACCTGACTACAGTCAGGCTCTAGCGGAATGCACAAGAAGAATCATGTTTCAATATGTAGAAGCAATTTTAACGGGATGCGATGCACACCGCCAGTGATTGCTACGTTCATTTTGGCATCACTGAAGCACTAGGCTTGTTAACCAGCCTTCGTCAGATGCCATTCACTAAACATCTTTATCATTTAGTTCTACTACATATACGTGTATACTCCAGTTCCTGTTACAGCACTACACACTGGCCATTCTTCATAGTTCCACATCGATTCGCCTCCTCACAGGCGCGCAACGGCAACTCTTACGAGATATAACGCGCTCCCCTCAAGAGCCACCAGAAGATTCCTGCGAAATCCAATATCACTTCCGTGATGCTTCGTTAAGCGGACATAAATTCAACAGACCAAAGTCCATAAATGATTTCATGCCACATGCATTCACACCACTGAATAAAAACTTCTCCTGTATTTTCCCACTTTCCCGTCAACGCCCGCTTACCATGCTTCTTCTATTACTACTTATATGGTATCCGCTCACAAATTCATTGCTCAATCAAACTGTCTTGACGTAAAAAAATAGCAGCCTCATTAATCGAAGTCTAACATTTAACAATTGTACCCTTAAAAAGAATAACACGTTGCACAAATCCGAAAGGCATGATACCCACTTGAAACACAAAATGCATGACAACCAGTTATCAATTCATCAGCTGAGCACAAACAACATGTCACCACCAATACTGTGGGGCACCAACTGTTAACTCTGTTTACTACACAAACACAACAATACATTATTTCATTATCTCACCAATTGTAAAAACACCGGCGCAGTTTCTCTATACATCATCAAAACCTAACTAAGTCCCAACCGCGGCCACAACGCAATTCAACCATCACTCCTCAACGACGGTCCTCCTCCTACCAATCGTACAACTCAGTGCAGTGAGACGTCACTGAATATGACTCAGAAGAAAAACCGGTGGTGATTATTCGGTAGTCCTATTTGACGTTCCTCCGAAACTTGAACTGTATCTCTTAAAGTCCTCATTCTCGTCGTGACTACAGGACTTCCCCAGCCATTTTGTCTCTTTGAACACCTATCTTCACTTCGTATCATCTGGTGCGTTTCCTAGCACTCAATTGTACCAAACACGTTACGTGTTACAAATAAATAATGCGAGCAACATACACATAATCAAATCTGCACAGACACCCACTTGGATGAAAGAAGGTTAATTCCCAACAAATGAACGACCATATGACTCAGTAGAAACTTACAACCAACTAACATCACTCTACTACATTGAACCCGAGTGAAAACTGCACGATACTTACAAGTGGTTGACACAATCACTCAAACTAACAGTCGGTAGGACAAACACATAATTTTCCCCACTCCCTCCTTCTATTCACGATCTCGTGTCGAATTCGCCGACTTATACACCAACAAAACAATTCCTGATCAACGTGAAACACATGAACGCACAATGCTAATTCTTGCGAAAATCTAACACTTCTCTTGCAGCACAATCAAAAACAAAATTTTAAACACATACATACCTGCCTTCATTAATCTAACAGCACTTCGGTTCATATACACAAACCGTCTGACATATTCATTATCCACCTAACCCTATCGGTGACTACACTAATGACCACACCTAACTACAATCGACCTGAGCACATCCCCATAGAATAACACCGGGTTAGATAGAACCACTCAATGCTAAACTAAACAATATTAGACATCGTCCACATCACTTGCGGCTATCAAACACCAATTTGTTCAGCAACATTTGACAGGCAAACGCCCAATCAGATCACATATAACACCATAGACACCTCATTACACTTTAGGCGCAATACACTTAACATTGCAGCAGTCAGTCACACCCCACTTCCATGTCATTGTAACAACTGGCACTCATATGCAAGCAACATTATCGAATCACACTCTGCACAATTTAGGGTGAGTAAATCCCATAAACTGATTGAACTCAGAAGAACAATCCCCAATCAATCAAATCAATTTGTATGGGAAACAATTGTAGAAACGGTACTAGAGGCACGTGAATACCATTAGCGACCGTCTACTTCAATATAGCATTTTGGGAGACCAGAACAATGTCCTGGTACTATGAAAATGCAATACCAATCTCCAACCAGGTTTACAGAGACTCGTAATAAACATAAGTACATGCTACTGCAAAAACTCTAGGATGGGAAACGTCAATGACTATTGTTTATTTTAATCTAGCACTGACCGAAACTAGAATCATACACACACTCCACACAACACCCTATAGGGAACAAACAATGTAGGAGCTATTCAGGAAGCAAAATCGCCTCCACAAATACCCTCCGTTTAATGTAGCATCCTTCTGACACCCGACCAGAGTCAGGCTCTAATAGAATGCGAGATGAATTCTAACCACATTTCTAAATCTAACAAAACTGTTCGCAACCAGTACACGACTACACAATCCGGCTACGTGAGTCAAGCTTACACTTACCAAACCAAAGATATCACATAGAACACAAACAATGGAAACCCTAGTAGCCGGGAAACAATTTTGCGCAGTATACTACTTCATACGTAGGCGACTGGTGCTGCAACTGCGTAATAGAAACATTGACGACAAATAAAAGATGAACAAAAGTAAACCTTCTAGACACCATCTATCTTTCCAATCGACACTTAATACCGATGTGTATCGTCGAAACAACCAATTTATCCCAACACAATAGACCCTACCCAATGCACCATTGTGATCACTGACTTGTCTCGACATTTATACATGCAATCTGTATATATCTATTATACTTCGTTACGTTCAGTGCTGGAAACCCATTTGACAATTTATCCTGAAGAGATCACCTCACAGTCAACACCCGAACTTGAAACTGACACATCAGTCAAGAAACACTGTGCTAAGCACCTGTTCTTTGTTGGTGACCTACAACAAACTGTCCTCGTACACAAACTCCAGTCTGATCTTTATTCGATGGAATATAGCATATACACACTTCCAAAATAGATATATCCCACCGTCTTTATCGATGTTCAAGCCAGTTCGCATAAAATTCCGTTAAATTTAGACTAAGAAACTAATGAGCATCAACATTTAAATACATAAAGCATACTATCAGGCTGCTGGATAAGCCATCAAACACACGAAGACCTCCTTAAACTAAGCATATGAAGTATGTAGTGTAAACCATTTATTAAGCACAGGCTTATAAACTCGACTTTGAGTCGCACTGTTTATATGAAAGCTAATGATACTAACCGAATTCCCCAAACCGAGGTAGGTGAGGTGGGGTTAGAGCCCGCAACTTATCGGTTGATATATACTTACAACACTGAAACGACCATGTTCAGCGCATTGTCAAAACATTGCATTGGAATCACGACGACTAATACGATACAATACAATACGTTACATACCCAACGCACAATAGAAGGCAGACGTGAAATGCCTTACCGAAGGCGCAAATTCTTCGGACACTTCATAATACGGTTATCTGTTATATATTTTGGAAAATGTTTTATCAATTACTCCAGTGGCTTACCGTACGCATCAGGATAACCAGAATCTAGGCCCGAAGAACGGGGTTAGAACCACCACTTTTCGGCAATCCTGCTGCAGTCATGTAACCACCCCCACAGCTCACACACCCACCAGCATGAACAACCTTGGTTGTCAACGCCAAATGTCCGCAAGCAAATTCTGTTCACGCTTTGAGAATTGGCTATCTTGGTTACTCTGTAGAGCAACCTTTAGACCTACACCGACTAATCCCCATAACACAATGTGTGAACAGCTACAGCACCACAGCAAAACCTGCTAGTCTCACCATCAGACAGCCGCTTTGCCGGAAAGATTTAACTGCACACCAGCACAACTATGTTTCCAGATTAACAGCTAAACTCCGAGTTAAAAATCTGCAAACAGCTAACTGATCAAAACTGTCTCGCCTGACACTGCGAACAACAGCAATCTCCCATGTATCAGCATAGCATACAGGCAATCCATATCGGCAGGATATTAGCTGATAAGAAAAGCAAAAGGCTTAGTTAGATGATAGATTCATGATATATATGTATAAACCAATAAAAACAATGAACAAGTTAAATAAGCGTCAGCAGTCAACGTCGTTCTCTTGATAACGACCGACTATAATGTCGGGGAGAAGAAGGAAGACGATATCGATCGTTCATTCTACGTGGTGACCGCCTGTCACGACCAGACGAGAAAGAACGAGAACGCCGTCCATTACGTCGCGGAGTAACCGATCGTCTGAAAAGTTAAAAGTGAACTCATTTGCGAGAATACAGTTACACAAAAATAGTGATAAATGATGCATGCAAGCGGACACCAATAATTAAAGAGAGAAGTAGAACAAATATAACAAGATAAATTGGAATATAGAGAGAATAATTAACTAGCTATACCTACACTTATTACCAAGTAAAACACAATACTCAATGCACACAGTACACTAAACATATAAAAACTTCACTGTCGGGAAATTCTTCATACAGACTAACAAGCATCCACATAAGATTGGTTTGCATATAACACGCAAATACTACATAATCGTTACTCATAGTAGGCTAAATCCTAATAGTATACTTCTCATCCACAACGCTTTCTATTTGTCATCTCATCTATATGGGCTGTCCAAATGTCAGGCAATCACATGGTCAAACCCAAACGAACAATCCCTAATTAATCAAATCAATTTGTATGGAAAACAATTGTAGAAACGGTACTAGAGGCACGTGAATACCATTAGCGACCGTCTACTTCAATATAGCATTTTTGGGAGACCAGAACGATATCCTGGTACTATGAAAATGCACAAAAATCTAACATCTGAATCTGCAACTTTGTAGGAGAGATTCACAGTAGACAGTAGTTTTGCCAACAAATCAATCCTTTCAATATAGCATTCCTAAAACACCTGACTACAGTCAGGCTCTAGCGGAATGCACAAGAAGAATCATGTTTCAATATGTAGAAGCAATTTTAACGGGATGCGATGCACACCGCCAGTGATTGCTACGTTCATTTTGGCATCACTGAAGCACTAGGCTTGTTAACCAGCCTTCGTCAGATGCCATTCACTAAACATCTTTATCATTTGGTTCTACTACATATACGTGTATACTCCAGTTCCTGTTACAGCACTACACACTGGCCATTCTTCATAGTTCCACATCGATTCGCCTCCTCACAGGCGCGCAACGGCAACTCTTACGAGATATAACGCGCTCCCCTCAAGAGCCACCAGAAGATTCCTGCGAAATCCAATATCACTTCCGTGACGCTTCGTTAAGCGGACATAAATTCAACAGACCAAAGTCCATAAATGATTTCATGCCACATGCATTCACACCACTGAATAAAAACTTCTCCTGTATTTTCCCACTTTCCCGTCAACGCCCGCTTACCATGCTTCTTCTATTACTACTTATATGGTATCCGCTCACAAATTCATTGCTCAATCAAACTGTCTTGACGTAAAAAAATAGCAGCCTCATTAATCGAAGTCTAACATTTAACAATTGTACCCTTAAAAAGAATAACACGTTGCACAAATCCGAAAGGCATGATACCCACTTGAAACACAAAATGCATGACAACCAGTTATCAATTCATCAGCTGAGCACAAACAACATGTCACCACCAATACTGTGGGGCACCAACTGTTAACTCTGTTTACTACACAAACACAACAATACATTATTTCATTATCTCACCAATTGTAAAAACACCGGCGCAGTTTCTCTATACATCATCAAAACCTAACTAAGTCCCAACCGCGGCCACAACGCAATTCAACCATCACTCCTCAACGACGGTCCTCCTCCTACCAATCGTACAACTCAGTGCAGTGAGACGTCACTGAATATGACTCAGAAGAAAAACCGGTGGTGATTATTCGGTAGTCCTATTTGACGTTCCTCCGAAACTTGAACTGTATCTCTTAAAGTCCTCATTCTCGTCGTGACTACAGGACTTCCCCAGCCATTTTGTCTCTTTGAACACCTATCTTCACTTCGTATCATCTGGTGCGTTTCCTAGCACTCAATTGTACCAAACACGTTACGTGTTACAAATAAATAATGCGAGCAACATACACATAATCAAATCTGCACAGACACCCACTTGGATGAAAGAAGGTTAATTCCCAACAAATGAACGACCATATGACTCAGTAGAAACTTACAACCAACTAACATCACTCTACTACATTGAACCCGAGTGAAAACTGCACGATACTTACAAGTGGTTGACACCATCACTCAAACTAACAGTCGGTAGGACAAACACATAATTTTCCCCACTCCCTCCTTCTATTCACGATCTCGTGTCGAATTCGCCGACTTATACACCAACAAAACAATTCCTGATCAACGTGAAACACATGAACGCACAATGCTAATTCTTGCGAAAATCTAACACTTCTCTTGCAGCACAATCAAAAACAAAATTTTAAACACATACATACCTGCCTTCATTAATCTAACAGCACTTCGGTTCATATACACAAACCGTCTGACATATTCATTATCCACCTAACCCTATCGGTGACTACACTAATGACCACACCTAACTACAATCGACCTGAGCACATCCCCATAGAATAACACCGGGTTAGATAGAACCACTCAATGCTAAACTAAACAATATTAGACATCGTCCACATCACTTGCGGCTATCAAACACCAATTTGTTCAGCAACATTTGACAGGCAAACGCCCAATCAGATCACATATAACACCATAGACACCTCATTACACTTTAGGCGCAATACACTTAACATTGCAGCAGTCAGTCACACCCCACTTCCATGTCATTGTAACAACTGGCACTCATATGCAAGCAACATTATCGAATCACACTCTGCACAATTTAGGGTGAGTAAATCCCATAAACTGATTGAACTCAGAAGAACAATCCCCAATCAATCAAATCAATTTGTATGGGAAACAATTGTAGAAACGGTACTAGAGGCACGTGAATACCATTAGCGACCGTCTACTTCAATATAGCATTTTGGGAGACCAGAACAATGTCCTGGTACTATGAAAATGCAATACCAATCTCCAACCAGGTTTACAGAGACTCGTAATAAACATAAGTACATGCTACTGCAAAAACTCTAGGATGGGAAACGTCAATGACTATTGTTTATTTTAATCTAGCACTGACCGAAACTAGAATCATACACACACTCCACACAACACCCTATAGGGAACAAACAATGTAGGAGCTATTCAGGAAGCAAAATCGCCTCCACAAATACCCTCCGTTTAATGTAGCATCCTTCTGACACCCGACCAGAGTCAGGCTCTAATAGAATGCGAGATGAATTCTAACCACATTTCTAAATCTAACAAAACTGTTCGCAACCAGTACACGACTACACAATCCGGCTACGTGAGTCAAGCTTACACTTACCAAACCAAAGATATCACATAGAACACAAACAATGGAAACCCTAGTAGCCGGGAAACAATTTTGCGCAGTATACTACTTCATACGTAGGCGACTGGTGCTGCAACTGCGTAATAGAAACATTGACGACAAATAAAAGATGAACAAAAGTAAACCTTCTAGACACCATCTATCTTTCCAATCGACACTTAATACCGATGTGTATCGTCGAAACAACCAATTTATCCCAACACAATAGACCCTACCCAATGCACCATTGTGATCACTGACTTGTCTCGACATTTATACATGCAATCTGTATATATCTATTATACTTCGTTACGTTCAGTGCTGGAAACCCATTTGACAATTTATCCTGAAGAGATCACCTCACAGTCAACACCCGAACTTGAAACTGACACATCAGTCAAGAAACACTGTGCTAAGCACCTGTTCTTTGTTGGTGACCTACAACAAACTGTCCTCGTACACAAACTCCAGTCTGATCTTTATTCGATGGAATATAGCATTTACACACTTCCAAAATAGATATATCCCACCGTCTTTATCGATGTTCAAGCCAGTTCGCATAAAATTCCGTTAAATTTAGACTAAGAAACTAATGAGCATCAACATTTAAATACATAAAGCATACTATCAGGCTGCTGGATAAGCCATCAAACACACGAAGACCTCCTTAAACTAAGCATATGAAGTATGTAGTGTAAACCATTTATTAAGCACAGGCTTATAAACTCGACTTTGAGTCGCACTGTTTATATGAAAGCTAATGATACTAACCGAATTCCCCAAACCGAGGTAGGTGAGGTGGGGTTAGAGCCCGCAACTTATCGGTTGATATATACTTACAACACTGAAACGACCATGTTCAGCGCATTGTCAAAACATTGCATTGGAATCACGACGACTAATACGATACAATACAATACGTTACATACCCAACGCACAATAGAAGGCAGACGTGAAATGCCTTACCGAAGGCGCAAATTCTTCGGACACTTCATAATACGGTTATCTGTTATATATTTTGGAAAATGTTTTATCAATTACTCCAGTGGCTTACCGTACGCATCAGGATAACCAGAATCTAGGCCCGAAGAACGGGGTTAGAACCACCACTTTTCGGCAATCCTGCTGCAGTCATGTAACCACCCCCACAGCTCACACACCCACCAGCATGAACAACCTTGGTTGTCAACGCCAAATGTCCGCAAGCAAATTCTGTTCACGCTTTGAGAATTGGCTATCTTGGTTACTCTGTAGAGCAACCTTTAGACCTACACCGACTAATCCCCATAACACAATGTGTGAACAGCTACAGCACCACAGCAAAACCTGCTAGTCTCACCATCAGACAGCCGCTTTGCCGGAAAGATTTAACTGCACACCAGCACAACTATGTTTCCAGATTAACAGCTAAACTCCGAGTTAAAAATCTGCAAACAGCTAACTGATCAAAACTGTCTCGCCTGACACTGCGAACAACAGCAATCTCCCATGTATCAGCATAGCATACAGGCAATCCATATCGGCAGGATATTAGCTGATAAGAAAAGCAAAAGGCTTAGTTAGATGATAGATTCATGATATATATGTATAAACCAATAAAAACAATGAACAAGTTAAATAAGCGTCAGCAGTCAACGTCGTTCTCTTGATAACGACCGACTATAATGTCGGGGAGAAGAAGGAAGACGATATCGATCGTTCATTCTACGTGGTGACCGCCTGTCACGACCAGACGAGAAAGAACGAGAACGCCGTCCATTACGTCGCGGAGTAACCGATCGTCTGAAAAGTTAAAAGTGAACTCATTTGCGAGAATACAGTTACACAAAAATAGTGATAAATGATGCATGCAAGCGGACACCAATAATTAAAGAGAGAAGTAGAACAAATATAACAAGATAAATTGGAATATAGAGAGAATAATTAACTAGCTATACCTACACTTATTACCAAGTAAAACACAATACTCAATGCACACAGTACACTAAACATATAAAAACTTCACTGTCGGGAAATTCTTCATACAGACTAACAAGCATCCACATAAGATTGGTTTGCATATAACACGCAAATACTACATAATCGTTACTCATAGTAGGCTAAATCCTAATAGTATACTTCTCATCCACAACGCTTTCTATTTGTTATCTCATCTATATGGGCTGTCCAAATGTCAGGCAATCACATGGTCAAACCCAAACGAACAATCCCTAATTAATCAAATCAATTTGTATGGAAAACAATTGTAGAAACGGTACTAGAGGCACGTGAATACCATTAGCGACCGTCTACTTCAATATAGCATTTTTGGGAGACCAGAACGATATCCTGGTACTATGAAAATGCACAAAAATCTAACATCTGAATCTGCAACTTTGTAGGAGAGATTCACAGTAGACAGTAGTTTTGCCAACAAATCAATCCTTTCAATATAGCATTCCTAAAACACCTGACTACAGTCAGGCTCTAGCGGAATGCACAAGAAGAATCATGTTTCAATATGTAGAAGCAATTTTAACGGGATGCGATGCACACCGCCAGTGATTGCTACGTTCATTTTGGCATCACTGAAGCACTAGGCTTGTTAACCAGCCTTCGTCAGATGCCATTCACTAAACATCTTTATCATTTAGTTCTACTACATATACGTGTATACTCCAGTTCCTGTTACAGCACTACACACTGGCCATTCTTCATAGTTCCACATCGATTCGCCTCCTCACAGGCGCGCAACGGCAACTCTTACGAGATATAACGCGCTCCCCTCAAGAGCCACCAGAAGATTCCTGCGAAATCCAATATCACTTCCGTGATGCTTCGTTAAGCGGACATAAATTCAACAGACCAAAGTCCATAAATGATTTCATGCCACATGCATTCACACCACTGAATAAAAACTTCTCCTGTATTTTCCCACTTTCCCGTCAACGCCCGCTTACCATGCTTCTTCTATTACTACTTATATGGTATCCGCTCACAAATTCATTGCTCAATCAAACTGTCTTGACGTAAAAAAATAGCAGCCTCATTAATCGAAGTCTAACATTTAACAATTGTACCCTTAAAAAGAATAACACGTTGCACAAATCCGAAAGGCATGATACCCACTTGAAACACAAAATGCATGACAACCAGTTATCAATTCATCAGCTGAGCACAAACAACATGTCACCACCAATACTGTGGGGCACCAACTGTTAACTCTGTTTACTACACAAACACAACAATACATTATTTCATTATCTCACCAATTGTAAAAACACCGGCGCAGTTTCTCTATACATCATCAAAACCTAACTAAGTCCCAACCGCGGCCACAACGCAATTCAACCATCACTCCTCAACGACGGTCCTCCTCCTACCAATCGTACAACTCAGTGCAGTGAGACGTCACTGAATATGACTCAGAAGAAAAACCGGTGGTGATTATTCGGTAGTCCTATTTGACGTTCCTCCGAAACTTGAACTGTATCTCTTAAAGTCCTCATTCTCGTCGTGACTACAGGACTTCCCCAGCCATTTTGTCTCTTTGAACACCTATCTTCACTTCGTATCATCTGGTGCGTTTCCTAGCACTCAATTGTACCAAACACGTTACGTGTTACAAATAAATAATGCGAGCAACATACACATAATCAAATCTGCACAGACACCCACTTGGATGAAAGAAGGTTAATTCCCAACAAATGAACGACCATATGACTCAGTAGAAACTTACAACCAACTAACATCACTCTACTACATTGAACCCGAGTGAAAACTGCACGATACTTACAAGTGGTTGACACCATCACTCAAACTAACAGTCGGTAGGACAAACACATAATTTTCCCCACTCCCTCCTTCTATTCACGATCTCGTGTCGAATTCGCCGACTTATACACCAACAAAACAATTCCTGATCAACGTGAAACACATGAACGCACAATGCTAATTCTTGCGAAAATCTAACACTTCTCTTGCAGCACAATCAAAAACAAAATTTTAAACACATACATACCTGCCTTCATTAATCTAACAGCACTTCGGTTCATATACACAAACCGTCTGACATATTCATTATCCACCTAACCCTATCGGTGACTACACTAATGACCACACCTAACTACAATCGACCTGAGCACATCCCCATAGAATAACACCGGGTTAGATAGAACCACTCAATGCTAAACTAAACAATATTAGACATCGTCCACATCACTTGCGGCTATCAAACACCAATTTGTTCAGCAACATTTGACAGGCAAACGCCCAATCAGATCACATATAACACCATAGATTTTTTTTTTTTTTTTTTTTTTTTTTTTTTTTTTTTTTTTTTTTTTTTTTTTTTTTTTTTTTTTTTTTTTTTTTTTTTTTTTTTTTTTTTTTTTTTTTTTTTTTTTTTTTTTTTTTTTTTTTTTTTTTTTTTTTTTTTTTTTTTTTTTTTTTTTTTTTTTTTTTTTTTTTTTTTTTTTTTTTTTTTTTTTTTTTTTTTTTTTTTTTTTTTTTTTTTTTTTTTTTTTTTTTTTTTTTTTTTTTTTTTTTTTTTTTTTTTTTTTTTTTTTTTTTTTTTTTTTTTTTTTTTTTTTTTTTTTTTTTTTTTTTTTTTTTTTTTTTTTTTTTTTTTTTTTTTTTTTTTTTTTTTTTTTTTTTTTTTTTTTTTTTTTTTTTTTTTTTTTTTTTTTTTTTTTTTTTTTTTTTTTTTTTTTTTTTTTTTTTTTTTTTTTTTTTTTTTTTTTTTTTTTTTTTTTTTTTTTTTTTTTTTTTTTTTTTTTTTTTTTTTTTTTTTTTTTTCACTGCCGTTTTGGCAATCGACACTCAATACTGACGTGCAGAGATATTCTTAACTTTGGCTATTATTCACTGGAACATAGGATTTATACGCTTCCAAAATTTATGTATATCAGTATCTTCATCGGTAACCATTTCACTTATTTAATATCGCGTCGGGTTTTTAGCAGGGGAGTTGTGATATCGACATTTAATTACATAAAATAGCATCTCGTGTGGGAATATATACTACTTTTTATCGATGTTACCGAGATTTCATGGATGATTTCTAGAATAATTTCGAATCCAATTTTTTTCGTTAGGTCGCTTTAAACGCGAGATGGAATGTAACTTGTGACTTAGGGTAATGTACACAAAAGCAGTTTTAACAAAATGATTCTTACCTTCGACGGTTTGGAGTTGGTCGACCATATTTTGCTCTTTGGACTCTGACTTCTCTCCCATCTACCTTATGGCCATCCATACCGCGTATGGCACAGTCAGCCTCGCGGTCAGTGCAGTATCGAACGAAAGCAAACCCTCGACTCTCGAAAGTATAGGGATCTCTAGGTATGTAGATATCACCTGTGACGAAAGGTGCGTAAATGAAGTTTCACAAGAGGGCGTGTTTTAGGACACGCGTTACTTACCAACTTCGCCGAATCGGCTAAAAACTCTTCGCAAGTCATCAATAGTTGTTCTGTATGCCAAGTTATCAACTTTCAACGATACCATCCCATCGATTCTTGGTGGAGATCGACCGTACCTGTTCATAACTCAGAGTTCTGAAACCGGATATCAATGACTAGTGACCTAGTTAACCATTGATAAAAACAAGGTCATGCTATGAGGCATATTGAAACATATTTCGGTACTTTCTTGTAATATGGTCTAAAGAATCCTGTAATCTGAAACAGATCGCTATATCGGATGGCTATGGATGGAATACTGAAAACTGTCGTTTAACGAGCCTTCATGTTCATATACCTATATCCCCAGATTGAGATCTAGGTACAATTCCTAAGAGTGCATGAAGTTCACTCCTTAAATACTCCTTTGAACATATAGTAGAGAATCCCAAGACTCGACAACTTGTAATGAGTAGAAGCTGTCTGTACTGTTTGGTACAAACATTAAGTTCACGCATCAGTAATAAGAAGCCTGACAGAACATACGAATGTCAAATGTAATAATTCAATTCCATCGACCAAATTGACCTCAGTGGGGCAATTAATTCGAAAGCCTTATATGGGTATCTTCATGGTGTTCCTTCGTTTGTTCATTTGTCTATCCATTTATCTATAAGTTATATTCCACCATTATATTGATCTACAAACATTTCAGACGCGTTGAATAAGTAACAGACTGAGCTGTTTGTGCTCTTTGTTGCAGTACAGACCAAACTACTCTAATGAAGTCCTGGGTTTCATTTTATTACAATATCCTATTTCCGGTGTTTCCTGATTGTTAGTGACTATAGAACCATGAATGTAATACTGTCCCGACTTCTTTAGAATAGATCAAGTTTCCTCCCCCTGAACTAACTTAGCTAATGGCAAATTCCAAGGCCTAACTACTCATGAAGAGTAGAAGGTGGGCTATCTCCTTAGCTTCCTGTGTTCCGCCTCTGATTTATGGGTGACCCCCTAAGATATTGTCCTAACACAGAGCATTTGTAAGCATTTTTTTAAAAATGAATCAGTTTTTAGGACACTTCATGGTATTAAAAGGCCGCCTATGCGTCACGTATAATTAAATAAAAAAGGTTCCAGCTTTTTAATGCATCCTACATAAAGCGTGGGCTTGAATTTCCAATTTGGTTGCGTGATCGGTTTGTGTATATGATCTACTGTATTCTTAACCACTCTAGAGTAGTGATGAAAACGCTATATTTTCATACTCTTAGTTAGGCTGAATGTAACTTGAAAATCACACAGAAAGTTGTACTTTCGAATCAGCCACAATGTACTTCAAAATTACCGGTATAAGGTTTACTCTAAGGGCTTTTCATCACAATTAGCACACGATCTTAGACCATAGGAAGTCAAGACGCCTAAATACGTCCGCTCAACAACACTTTTATAAATACATTGCCTATGTTGCATGTGTAGTTTGTTCCAGATGCCAAATGAACTACTTTACACTTTGAAAAATTTAAAGTTGGTCCATTAAATTTGAGTCACCTCCTACTGAGGCGTTATCTTATTATTCTGGTAGCAAACTTATCTACAAAACTCCGAGCCATCAGTAAAGAAATCATTCAGAAGATACCCATCTGAAAAGATCATTTCTATGAATTAGAAAGGTCCTAGTGCGGAGTTCTTGAGGACCCTAATAAAGCATCCTATAGCCCGAATCAGTTAATAATTAACCCTGAACTTAATGAACCAATTATTTAGTTACTACTTTACCCATCTTATAATTGGTGACTGAATACCTGCATGTTTGAACTTATTGACAAGATATGCATGATTGTCTCCAAATACTCATAGTGCATTGGCTTCACCCTATCCTTACGACCGAGTATGTTACTCCATCCACCAACCATTACCAGAAGATTTATGATTGTATCGCGATCTTTCCGTAAACCTTGCTGTTTCATTTCCACTTTCCACCTTTGAGGGGTTTCGGGACGCATGGCTTGTAATAGTCCTGACTATAAAGGTGTCGCAGTTGGCTCGACTTTCTTTTTAACGCTCTTAAAAATGGAACTTCAACCACGTCTTCAGATAGATAGCTCTGCCTGTTGATGATCACGCGGGAAAATTGTTAATTAACTAACAAGTAAATTTTTCTGTTTGAGAACTTCTTTGAGCATCTTTACAAACCCTCGATTTTTGTAGACAAAACGGGACGGCACGTCATACACACTGGGAATGTTTGGCCTAGTCAGCCTATACTCAGCAATAAATGTGGATAGAGACAACCGGTGAAGCAGCAGCCTCCTAAACAGTAGTGTTATAATGCAGAGTTGAGGGACACCAACAAATCCGTGGGCAAGAGTACATGTAGATTTCGCCGGTCCCATAAACGAGAAACAGTACTTGGTGATTGTTGATGCCTTCTCAAAATGGCCAGAGGTCCACTACATGAAGTCTCTTTCGACAAAAGCTACTATCAAAAAACTGAGACAAGTATTCAGCTGCTTAAGTTGTCCAGATGTATTGGTGGCTGATAATGGACCATAGTTTACCTCCACTGAATTTTCAAAGTTCTGAGTCGCCAACGCCGTCAGGCATATAAAGACACCCCCATACCACCCGCAGTCAAACGGTCTAGTCGAGAGGTTCGTTGATACGTTTAAAAGAGCACTGCTTAAAGCCTAGGGAGAAGGGGAAACAAAAGAGATGATTCAAAGATGTATACAAACCTACCGAGCAACACACAATCCAGCAACAAATAATCAAGAAAGTCCAGGAGAAGCAATTTTTGAAAGAAAGATTAGAATACCTATAAATCAAATGAAACCAAAACCTAGAACCAACCTTCGCAAGAACAAACAAATGGAACAGCAATTCAATAGGCGGCATGGTGCACTACCCAGAAGGTTTAAGGTGGGACAAGCGGTAATAACAAGAGACTTCATGGCAGTAAAGCCAACCTGTAAGTTTGGCATAATAATACGGAAAAAGGGAAAGTTATCTACGAAGTAAAAGTTGGACAAAGGATATGGGTGCGACATGCGAACCAGATACAGTCAACCAGACAAGAACGGGAGACAGGAAATGCTATAAAGTCGAATATACCAATAAATATACTAACTGAGTCGGATAATGAAATTAAAAATGACCCGAATAATAACAAGACGTATACAACAGTCCCAAGGAGGTCGCAGCGCATCGGGCGGAAACCTAATCGAATAAAAATAAATCCTAAGGATCATTAATATCTCTAATGCTTCAAAAAAAGGAGGTCTTATAACCCAGTGAAGATTAAGTTACAGGTAACTTCCGAGGACTGTTAATAGACTAATATTCTATAAATATTCTTATTGTATAATTACTCAATAATTACATTGTGTGTATTTATATTCCCCTTATTATAAGCTTTATTTTGTCCTATAATTTATTACTATACGATTTACGGTTCTTAATCTATATTCAGTCTATTAATTACCATCTCCCACGTTCACAGCCATTTTTGGCTTATTTGTGTACACACGTTATTTTCTATTTCGTGTTACGTTGTGGTCTGTCTGGCTGGTATATAAACAGAGTATGTTTGAAATACATAACTCATATTGCGGAAGCTGGTATTGTGTTTTTTTGGACTCAAGCAGACGGGCTAGAATGACCTCGGACCAACAAGGCGCTAGACTGCCCACACCGTTTGAACATCATTGGTTGACATAGAGTAAAAATTTGTATAAGTCGTATTCTGATTGGCTGATAATTCGCGTGGTAGAAAGGCCAGACATCAGGGTCATAACAATAAGGACACATAATTCACAAGGAAAAGAGCAAGATCATAAAATACAACACAACGGACAGCAAACGAATCGCATTTGATGGTCGGCCTCTGGAAGAGGTGAAAACTGTGATAGTTTTAAGTATTTGAATTTAATTAAAAACTAAGAATCCCAGCAATAAATCAATCTAACCAAGAAGTACTGGATCAGCACGAACGAACGTATTGTATTTAGAACTCAGAATCAGACAGTCATCAAGTGCAAATGAATCATTAATCCATACAAATACCAAATCCGCCACAGCACAAACGAGATTTCTAATCCGTGTGATCAGTCGTACATCTCCTTAGGTTCATAATGTGACTGTCCGATTGTGTGTTGGATTTAGACTCCGTATGATCAGCATTCCTACAGTTGGAGAACATATTGAATTCCAAACAACTGTCAACCAATATCAGAGTGAGAATCTTCAATACAAACATCAAAGAAGTTCTGCTGTACGGAGCTGAAACTTGGAGGACTACTCCAACCATCATCAAGAAGGTAGAAGTATTTATAAATAGTTGTCTACGCAAGATATTCAGCATATATTAGCCGGATACCATTAGCAACAGCCTTCTGTGGGAGAGAACAAACCAACTTCCAGATGAAGAAGAAATTAGGAAAAGATGATGGAAATGGATAGGACATACATTACGCAAATCGTCGAACTGCATCACGAGGCAAGCCCTAACTTGGGATCCTGAAGGGAAGTGGAAAAGAGGAAGTTCGAAGAACACATTACGTCGGGAAATAAAAGCAGATATGAAAAGGATGAACAACAACTGGAAGGAGCTAAAAAGGATTGCCCAGGACAGGGTTGGATGGAGAATGTTGGTAAGTGGCCTATGCTCCATCACGAGGAGTAACAGGCGTAATTAAATAAGTAAGTCATACCCATTAGGATAATCTTGGATTCCGTTTAAATTTTCTGTTTGCGCAAACTTCATATCTGGAACAACTGGTCCTCTAATTGCTACGGGGAAAAGTTTCTATTCCCTCTGATCCATCATACCGCTGACTAGGGATCCTACTCAACATACGTTGGTTGTGCGAATATTCAACATCTGATACAATAAAATCAGGAATGTGACTTGAATTAGACCCATTCGGAACATATTTGTCACATTCATTGTGGCTATCTTTGAAGCTGAACATATGATTTAATTTCATTTGGTATTTTTTTACTTGAATCTTCCTATTGATGCTTAGGACTGCAATTGATCAATCTCTTATTGGCATATGTGCATACTGTGTGTATTTCTTCGACATTACCTCAATTAAAAGGCATTACAAACAAAGATGGATAGTAGCTAGCAGTGGAATTCAGGATGCGCGTTTCGTCCTATTTGGGACTCAGTAGCCAAGTGGATAACAAGAAGCGTTTGAAGCGAACGGT